CGCGGTGGGGCTGATGTTTATCTCCAGCAGTCTATGGGCAAAATGCGGGGTAAACCCTGGATAGCTCCCCAGTGTATAACAGAAGCACACAAACATCAAACGCACACTCACATCTAAGCTAAATTTAGGGATGCCAATTAACCTTACAGTCATGTTTTTGGACTGTGAGAGGAACCAGGAGTACCCGGAGAGAACCCTAGCACTCACAGGAACGTGAAAACTCAATGCAAAAAGACCCCAGGCCGCAAATCAAACCCAGGACCTTCTTGCTGCAAGGCAGCAGTGCTGCCAGCTGTGGCACCCTGTATCCAGGCATTCTGGAGTATTTCATCGTGTTATTATATATTGAGCTACATTGATGTTATGGTTTGTTATGTTGCGTTATATTTTAATACAATTCAGCTTATTTGTATAGCGCCAATTCACAACACATGTCATCTCAATGTATTTTACAGAGACAATTCAACCAGATTATACAGTCAAATTGATTTAAAATGTTCTATCTATGGAAAACCAGTTAATTGCATCGACTCATTTTGACTCTAAGGGAATCCTTCACACCAAGCATGCTTGTGGTGACAGTGGAGAGGAAAAACTGCCTGTCACTACAAGCATGTCGACTGGGTTTCAAGGAGACAGAGGGAGACATACTTATATTTGATTACGTGACCTTATATTGTTTTGAATGAATGTACATTTCTTTCAGAAAACTTTCCACATAAAAAACAACTTACACACATTCATTAGAATAAACCCAATGGCACATTACATATCCTTTTTATAGTTGACAATAAATTGAATTAGATAAAAAAAAAAGGACTTTTACAATTTTGCATTAAATTATGTTGTATCATAAGTTATCAAATTACACTTTAATGTGTCTCATTAAGCATTAATTAATTTTACTTTGTGGGATAGTAGTTTGTGTAACTTTAAAATAAGTAAAATATTGCATTAAATAATATTGCAAAGTGTATAATGTAATGCTTTCCTTTAAGCAATGCAGCATTATCCAATGGAAATTTGGGAGAATCAACAAGCTCTCAAAGGGCTTCTCTTATGTTCACAGCTAAACAGACATCCCAATCCGCTTTGGCACCAAATCTTCCCTGTCACACCTGAAATGTTTTATCACAGCCATGGACCCTTTGGACTTTGCATGGCTTTCTTCAACCACACCTCCGAAAAACAAAAACAATAAAGAAAGCTGCCTCTAAAGAGGACACCTCTATAACCTCTGAAGATGATTGCAAAGAAAGAACATTACAGACAACCCTGAACATCCGCTTCATTAGACTGTTATCCAACAACAGGGGGCGGTATATTCCAGCAAAGCAGCTGCTTGTGAAACATCAGTTTGTTCTGTTTTTGCTTTCAGATTCTGCACATTTTGCCCACCGTCCAAATTCCTGAAATTCTCATCCAATTGCCGCATGGACGTCTGTAAGGCAAACATGCATAATGATCAACAAAATGCTGAATGTTTGTGTGTCCATGCAGTCATGTCACTCTATTTCTGTGCAGGAATAGAGGCCAATAGCATGTTGTTCCATGCTCCAATGTTTTGTCTTAGTGCATAGAGTTACTGTGGAGATGTTCAGGCTCTTTTGACCACCTTTGAGAGGGATTTCTGCTTTGTTTTGTCTAAGGAACAAGAGAAAGTGTGTGGGTGAGCAAGATGAAGTTTGGCCATATGAAAAAAATCCACTGAACGCCTTCATGCTCTTTATAAATCAGCAGAGACTAAAGGTTGCGACCGAGTTAAAGAACAGCAGAAGTAGTGAGGTGAATAGAATCATGGGAAAGAAGGTGAGCAGAATTCAGCCTGAAAATTTCAGGAATTCTGCATCACATCAGATTAATCAAAAGCCATTTAAAATATTGATTGTTACATAGTAAACTAGCCCCAACCGCCAGCAATCAAAATCAATTTTGCCCGCAAGTGCTCTAGCCTCGATCAATGCCCCAGGCCCTAGAACTGGCGGCCCAATGACAATGCAGAGATGTGTTTTGAATTTCTGGATGCAAAGCGGGCGGGGTATTGAGGGTGTGATGACAAAGCTGCGCGAGAAAGCACAACAAGGAAGACGGCAACGGCTATTGAACAGTTCTCGTTCGACTCAGCTTAGGAAAGATTACATTTCATTGAAATGTGAGCAGTAAGAGGCTCTACGCTCATTTATTTTAAGAATGACGTATTCAACATTTTACCGACAGGCTGTTTGTTTACACTCCCCCACCAGCTTTCTGTCGTGCTTACTACGTCACAGTCAGTTGCGCTCATTGGTCAGAGCGTTGGCCAATAGGAACAGACATGCTTTGAAAGACAATGGGTTGTTCTCATCAACAATCTTTCGATGTCTCATTCATCGGGGCCAGACTAAATTACACATTTAATCTCACATTTAGTCTGGTTTATCAGGCTAATTGATTGTGGCTCTGTCAAGTCAAATTTCCCTTCCTTAAATCTTAAAAAAATAATAAAATTTGATTAATAAGGTTTAAAAGTGGCCAAGAGTTGCTGGTAGTAAGTTTGATGTAATCCTTCATAAGCAGAAAACGAACTAAATCAAATTCTGAAATAAAAGCCAATCTGAAAGAAAAAGCTGTAATATTTCTGGTATTGGTTGATGCATCAGCTGGACTAGTGCTCTGCAGTAGTGTCAGTATAAACGCTAACACAGTACTGTTCCTTTTCCACAGTGGAACTCTTTGTCGGAAGAGCAAAAGGCCAAATATTTTGACCAGGCAGGAGTGGAGAAACTGCTTCATGAGCAGCAGCATCCTGGGTGGTCCTTGAAGGAGAGCTATGTAGGTGGACAGGTTAAACATGGTCATTTCAGCAGCTTAACGCGGAAAAAACACTTAGGATGCAACTTTGTTTTTCTATTTCATTTTAAGGGTAAGAAGCATGCGATAGAAAGAAGACGGAGATTGCTGGAATGAAAAATTTGAGATTAATCTGAAGACAATTCTGTCTCCTTTAATTGGATTAAAGCACTTATTTTTTTATACACAGCTCTGCTTCTCAACTGATTGCAGCGGTGCAGCTTTAAAGCAACAGGGATACAGGCGAGAATGAAGTTACCCAAAGCAAAAGCAAAAAATACTTATGTAAAAAAACAAAAAAAGGAACTGTTGATATATATAATGAAGGTTTAATCGTGGTTATAATAATTAAACTGAGCACCTATAATATCAACAGCATGTTGAAAGGTTGCTAAAACACAGGGTCTGCTCCTTTAACATGTCAGCAGTGCAGTTGGTACAACAGATGGTGGGAAAATTTCTATAATATTGATTAAAATAGGTACAGCGGTACTTTTCGGTTTATTTTGACTGTTTTGTAACAATGAGGGAGGGAAAAAATCTGCAATTTGTTCCTAGAACAAGCTTCCTATGCTATTTTACATGTTGACCATTCATACCTTTGTTGTTCACACAGTAAATGCATTTTATTGAAACCTCAAAATGCATTGGTTGCTGTCTGGTTTGAATATGCTAAGTTGGAAAAAAGAAAAAGAAGCCAATGCCAATTCTAGACCAATTTCATTTTTTATGAAACAAGAAAATAGTTTAATGTTTATTATATTAAGTGAGCGTAGGAGTCATTTGTTGCTCTAGAACCTCAAATGAAAACTGTAATCCCATTCCAATATGACTGAAGCTTAAAGTATAACAATTTAATATTTCAGTTATAGATAAAATAAGCAAAAATAAATAAATAAATATTAATCCAAAGGAGTTATCAGTTTTGATTTATTTTCCAGCCCATATTATATGTAATTTGTGTTATGTCTTTAGTACAGGGGCCTTAAAAAGGCCTAGGGCCAGTTCTACAGTGACTCTGGACCCCATTGGTCCCTGTCTAGACATGGGGGGCTATAAACTAAGCATCTTGTTGACCACTAAAATCATAATGAAAAAAAAATTTGAAGGAGTTGCACAATGGCCTTTAAAAAATAAATTCATTATAAATATATAAAAAAACTATAAACTTTGTTTTTCACTTCCAAAATTACATTTTGTTTTGTTGCAATACTCCACTTTCACGTTAAACTTCTTAAAGTTTTTTTTTTTATCAGCTACATTTTAAAAAGCATTTAGCTGACAGGGACTATATGTGTTTGATGGCGAAACAAGGATCCCAGCAGAGGCGTAGCCAGAAAATGTTAATAGGGGTGGCCAGTCAAAAACCAATGTACAGTGAGGGGTGACCGAAACGGATAGGCGCCGGAACCTCAGGGTCAATTTACACTGTTTCAACAGGAACGAGCACAACATCCATGCTTTTTAAATAAAGACAAACTATTCTTTCCTACAGCTTTTGCTAACAAATAGACACATATATTTAAACATCCATACTGTTCAAATTAAAGGTAGTAAAAGGTAGTGGACAAAATTTCTGGGGTGAACATCTTTCCCATTTTCATTATTTACCTACTTTTATCAAAAACTGTTTTGCATAAAATTAATATTTACATGTACTTATATTTACAAATAAATTAGTAGCTTAAAAAGTAGCTATTTATCTATGATTTTACTAAAGACTCCTAGATGACTTGCAGAGAATTTTCTCTTTACCCCATATAACACAAAATTTAGTTCTGAAGTGACCATGAATTTTGTATAAATAAACTTTAATGTTAGTATTTTGATTAGCATAATTAATCATAGCATATTAGTTGTCTAGTAATTTTTAATATATAAAACATTAAATTTTTTATTAAATCTGAACATTCCCCCTAAGAGTATTAGTGCTGCCGCCTTCTGTATTAGAGGGGGGAAAAAATTGTAGAGGTCCCCCATTTAGCTCCGCCCCTGGATCCCACCTCCCTTATGTGCAATATCCGCATACCGGTCGAATCACCTCCGTGCAGGCCGTGTTAGTTACACCGGCGCGTGAATGGTGCAGACCCCGTCAAAATGTTTGGAAGGTTTGGCAGCGGCAGAGATCTGATTGGTCCACAGAAGCATGTTATGGGCGTGGCCTAGTTTGAGGCAGCAGGCTGTAGTTTTGAGATATGAAGGGCAGAGGCAGAGTGGTCTGCTGCTGCTGGGGGACGAAATGAAGCACATTACCAGAAAGGACTCAACCGCAGCGGAGGAGGGGAGCCAGGCTGCCTGACAGCTTCGGGTTTCGGACGTGGCAGGTTCATATTTTAACTAGCGGCAGTTAGTTAACCGTCAGTGTCGTGCCTCTTATTTTTTTTTTTTTTTGAAGTCAAATTAGGAAAGAAGAAGTGGACTTCAGAAAATGAACCCCAGACAGGTGTGCAGACAAGTTAATTAAAAAACAAGCCGCGTTTGTTGTGGCGCCGCATTAAATAAAGAAACAAAACTTGACACAATGGAGCAGCAGCAGCATTTCTTGGCGTCTGAAAGCAGCAGAAGTCTGTCTTCTTCCTCGACCTCCAGCGACGTGGAAGAGACAGTGTCTGGCGTGGAAATTAAAGTTTATGCTGATAGTGGTGATAATTTCCAAAACCTGGACTGTGGGATGAAGCAAGCGGCTGAGGACGGTGGGAATGACGACGATGATGAAGAGGAGGAGGAAGATGAAATGGTAAACGCACAGGAACACATCTGGGGGTATTATCCCCCCTAAAATAAACAATAATATCACCTGTTTAGACAGTATACATTAAACTCTTTAAATGCTATTAAAATAGACGTTTTTCCTCTTTTGTTTTGTTGGGACAGCTGCAGAGGCGTAGCCAGAATTTTTTTTATAAGGGGGGGCCAGGCAATAACCAATGTACACTGAAGGGGGGCCGAAATTCAGAGTCAATCTACTACAGGAAAATTAATGGGCACAACATAAATATTTTCTAAATGAAGGCAAACTATACTTTCCTACAACCTTTGCTGACAAATAGATACATAAATATTTAAACATCTGTGGTTACAATTTTTTAAGGTTGGAGTTTCTTTTTGTTTTCCTTTGTCATTACTTACCTACTTTTATCAATAATCATTCTGCATAAAATTGATATTTACTAGTACTAACATCTACATAAAGTAATTATTTAATACGTTTTATTAAAATAGTTATTTATCAATAATTTTACTGAAGACTCCTAGATGACTTGCAGAGACACATCATTTTCTTTTTACCCCATAAAACTGAAAATCTAGTTCTGAAAAGAGCATAAATTCTGTACTTATAATCTTTAATGTTCCTATATTGATGTGCATAATTAACAACAGTGTTTTTGTTGTCAAGTAATTGTTGATATATGAAAAATTTAAATGTTTAAAATATTCCACTTGAGAGTATTACTGCTGCCACTGTCTGTATTAGAGGGAAAAAAAATAGTAGGGTTGGCCATGGCCACCCCTGGCCCCCCATCTAGCTCTCCCCCTGGACAGCTGATAAAGTTATCAGAGCCTAGACGAGTAATGAGCAACATAAGCAACTGCTCTCCCCTAACACCCAGAATTAGGCCTTTTATTAAATAACTGTGGTTTAATTTAGTATCTGTGTCAAACCTTCACTTATCCAGTGTTTGGTAATTTTAAAAAACTGTTTAACTCTGGGACAGTTCCAGTGCTTTAAAGGGTTAACTTACTGCCTCACATAATTATTTTAAACATCCTTATGTTTGTGTTGGTCTCTAAGCCTCTTTTATACACACAGAAGCTCTGAACTTGCAGAAGTCGTTAGTTTGACCCTGTTGTCCAAATATTTGTAAGGGTGCATCTCTCTTTGGCTGAGCTCTTGTTTATCGGGTTATTCTAATGTCCTGGAGTCAGTAAGTGGCTCAACTTTCTATTACAATTCATTATAATTGCTCCTATGACTTCATCTGATTTTTTTTTTTGACTCCCCATCCAAACATTTCAGTTTTTACACTCCAACCACAAACCTTAATGCATTTTATCAGGCTTTTATGTGATAGACAAACACAACGTAGTGCATAATTGGAAAGCGTGGAATTATATTTCTTTTACAAAATTGAAGATCTTAATGTTTTTTACCCAGATTGACCATGATGCCCTTTAATAAAATCAGGTGCAACAGTTTTACTAGAAAAATCACTTAAAGTGGTAGATAAGTCATATTTAAATGTCAAATTATTCTGGCTTAAACATGTATATAAATGTACTCTTTATCAGACCTTATTGTCGCAAAAGTTTGAAAATGTCGATTTAAAAAAAATTCCTGTCTTATAATCTGTTTTTGCCTTTTTTTTCTCCCTGTTATCTGATATGTCAGCCTGTACACCTAAATTCGGCCAATCATAAATCAATGGTAATCTGTCAATCACATTTTTTCGGTCATAGTATCTTAATTCATATGTCGCAGCTAATATACGCAACGGTTGAAATAAGAATAATATACTTTACCATTGAGTTGCGTCCCAGTGTTCATGGGGATGGACGTCTGTGTCTTCAGCAGGCGTAGAGCTAACAGAAATGGCAGCGTTGCGAGGCAAGGGCTCAAACATGTACGGCTGTGAGCCTTCTACACCAAACCAAGCTTTTGCCACCCTGGCGTCCTCTTCAACAACATCTTTGAATCGCTTTCCTTGAAATAAAAAATGAATGACGGAGGAGACTCATCCATGACCTCCGACACAAAACTCTCCTCCTCTTGCATGTTTCTGCTGTCCATATCATTCCTTGACAGTGTTGTTTCTAAATCACCAATTTAGTGCTACTTGGTCCCAATGGAATTTCCCATTGGGAACCTACTAGCACTAAGTTGCTAACTGGTTAGCAAGATGCTTCCGAGACGCTGGCCACAACTAAACTTGCTTGCGAACCTTCCGCCACAACAACCCCGCTCCCTTGATAATCGACCAATCACATTAACTTTATTCGTTCGTGTAATGTCGGGCACCACTAGGGAGAATTCAGAAATGCAACCGTTGGAACAGCCGCTTCCCTACGACTTTAAATGGAGAGAGTTAACCTCGGTACTAATCATCTGTTTTATCTTTTTGGAGAACCTTAGAGATTAAACAATATCATGAAGACCAACAAATGCAGCAGACTACTCGGGCATAAAGTTGTCTAAAATTTTTTAATCCTGGTTAGAATTAAAAGGACTTCAGTGAGAGCAGCACTGCTTTAACATATTTTTACTTGGTTTAAATAAAAAATTTGCCTTCCAAGATTTTCAGTCTTTGTACTTGGCTTCTGCAAAAACTGTACGATGAAACCAAAGTGTTTAAATCTTCACAGCTCACGATGTACGTCCAAAAACCACACATTGGACTAGGTGCTGAGAGATGGCGCTGGTCGGACTCATCCCTCTGGAAGCCAAACATAGACAGTAGAAGAAGAATTCCCTTGTTTGCACATGGAAAGTGCACGAGGGTCAGGTTAAGTGGCTCGTAGCTCTGCTTCAACTGCAGGATTTGCCCACAAACCCCGACTGAATTTCAAACGCGTTTGATTTTCTCCCGACCTTACGTTTCCTGATTGGAAGGTTGACGTTAAAGGCTTATCATCCCTTGTTACCCCGTTTATATGCAGAACAGTCGATGAGGCTGTAACTCAGCCCGATCCCAAAAAACTCTCGCATGACTGGAGAATCGGCCCGAAAAGGGCAAAAACTCAAACAGTGCATGCATGTCTAGGAGTTGGTAAGAAGGCAAGACATGTTCTGAGTAACCTTTCATAGCATCTGATTTTTGTAAAAGAAGCAGTAAAAAATATAAAGCTATGTGAAAACTTTAGTAATTTAGAAAAGATACCAATGCAAAGTTAATAGGAAAACAATTTCTCCAAATCAAATCATAGAAATTACGGAACTAATACAGTAGGCAACATCACTTATGTTTGAGTAGAGTAAACTACCTCCAGTGACAAATGTATGTTTTACTGTAAATTAGCCTGATCTTCATTTCATAGAAAGCTTGGCATGTAGAAGTAGGATTGAGGCAACAAAGCTTGTGTACAAAAAATGAAATGTTAATTTTACCCAAACCCTAAACTGTGTAGTCTATATGCTGTATAGTTGGCTGGAATCACTTGATTTAGATCAAAGCTCATTTACGTGTTAGAATGACCTAATTTAGATAATTGCTAACACTAAAACATGTTTTTAAGTCCGTCAAAGACTTGAGATTTGATATTCATAGGAGCTATCCTTGCATTCCTTTAAGAACTTGGGTTATTTTGTGAAAAATAAATAAGATACAGTATGGTCCAGATTTGTATTGGTCTGTCGCATTTAATCCTAATGAAATACGTTAAAGTTTGCAGTTGACATATAAATGGCTTTCGTGTGGTGCTTAGGGTACGAAAACTTTAGCAAATGTGTGAAACACTAGCAAGCTGTATTAAATCCACTTTGAAGAATTTTGTATTGAGAATATGGTGGGAAAATACCTGCCCTCCCTACTGCATATGCACACAGGTTACATAACAAAGGCTATTTAAAATATGTTAAGAACTGTAGATTATTTGAAGCATGTGAAAAACAAATCTACCTGTTCCATACAGCAGCTTTCTGTCCCTGATACTCTAAACATCACAGTGAAAACTTGATTCTCTAAAGCATTAATTCGTTTAGCTTATACCACTGTTCACAATGTTTAACATCAGTGATAAAGATGTGGAAATCATTTTAATTTTTAATCCTATTAAGAAACACTGAGCTAAACTCAGCCTTTGTTTCAAGGAAATTTAATAAGTGGTAGAAAAAAAGGTATTCTCAGGTTGGTATTTACAATTTGTGCATAGTTAAAGTAGCAGAAGCTTTTTATTTTCCAGAGATGTATATTTATTTAAAATTCAGGTCAAATTAGCCTTTTATCATAGCCATTGACCTGCTGTGTTGTGGAATTTCAGTATAGCTTTAAAGTGGCCTAATTTGCTTTGCTACACTTTAAACTGTCGCTGATCCTATTTCAAGTGATGGGGATTGACCATGCACCATTAGAAAGGCTTTTCCTGGTTTTATGAAGAAAAGTTATTAATTTTAAAGGAATTCTGGGCCTTACTGTGGTTTATACTACAATGTGGTGTTTTACGTAAAGATGATCTATTTAAAGTCTGTATTAACTTTATCTTGACCTGAGCAAACGGAGCAGGGTGGGGCTCCTAATGCTTTATCATGTTAGATGTGTTGCCTTCCCAGGCTGCCAATGTTTGCACTCATGATTTACATGTACAGCGACCTTCTCCCTCCAAGCTGTTGTTGTCTGTTTTCTGACAAAGTATTCCTTTAAAGCCAACTTTATTCATAGAGCTGTTAAGTTAAGGATGCTGTCCTCCTTCAGGCCTCATGCAACCTCCAAAGCTGCTATTTAGGGGAGAGGGTTCATGATACTGCAGCTATATGTACCCTGAGGGATTTAATCTCCACTTTGTCTCTGATGAAACGTAAAGAAAATAACAAAGTAGCATCAAAATCTAAATTTTTACTGCAGGAATGATGGAAAATTTTTGTGGGTTTGAAACCATGATTATTTCCTATATTGTCATAATGTGAATATGGTACCCAACCCCGGATTTCTTTAAATTTTCTGTATTATTACTGAACTTGAACCGCTTGTGTTTTTATGACTATATTTCAAAGATGATTCCAAACAATTTTTAATATTTGGAGTA